GCACAGGGTCCTGTGCAAATGGTGGAGGTGGAGTTGGTGGGTGTCAGAGTGTAGCTTCTGAGTCCCAGCCTTCTGGAAGTCCCAAATGCAGGCAATGAGCTTGTAGGTTCAGGTCCTTGGAGGATGTCTGTGGACCACACAGCCCCAGATTAAGAAGATCACCAGCTGCTCCACAAACTGGATTTCTGTACTTCCTGCTGGAGAATTTGACTAAAGCCAAGGTGGGCTTATTATGACTGCCTGCAAAGAAAATTCCTTACCCATATAATTTTATTGTTGCTAGGACAAAATACTCCACACCCAAAATAAAGGAAGGAAAGTTTCATTTAGTGGGCGAGCCAAGTAGCTCAGTGTGTTAAAGTGCCTGCTTAGGCTGCTGCAAGGGCTGGGGATTGGATCTCTGGGCCTGCCGTGCCAGCTCTGCCCACAGGGTGCACTGAGACAGCAACTGTACCTGGGCATGGTGGCGAGCACCTATAATCCCAGCACTTGGGAGGCTGTAAACAGGCAGATCACTATGACTCCACTCTATGCTGTGAGACCCTTTGCATCCTATAAACCCTGTCCTAAATACAAAAAAGAAAAAAATAGCTAGCTGAATTTAGTTAACAGTTAGTGGAGGTATCAGTCTATACTTGCCTGACTCTGAGGCAAAGTGGAGAACAGCAAAGAGACAAGGAAGGGGCAGCAGCTGTGGCAGAGAGCAAGCCCCTCTCCCTTCCTTACATTTGTATGCACATTATCTGCCCCTGGGTGGGTGAAGCTCTGACACCAAAATCCCAGCATTGGATCATGAATCAATCAAACTCTCTAGAGGCTACTCATGACTGCATGAGACTTTGAGCGCACACCTAGATGCAAACCATAACAAGAAACAATGAGGAAGACCACCGAGACCTTTATTCTCTTTGCAGTGGGTGACTTACTTGTCACATTCGAACTGTAGGGAGCTACATCCTTCTCCGTCATGGATGCTGAACTCTTGTCAGGCTGGTTGGAATTGCACAAGTCC